AGTTGTACACGGAAGCAGCTCCGGGCGGATGACGTATTAGGTCGGCTTTGCGCATGCGCCACTCAGAAGTGACGAATGCGGAAGCGCAGGGGACAGATCAAAACAAAACAAAAGATCAAAGACAATTTTTAATATAACTCCGACTGGATTCGTCTGAAAGAATAAAGTCATATACACCTAGGATGACTTGAGGGTGAGTAATTTATGGGCTAATTTTCATTTTTGGGTGAACTAACCCTTTAAACTACAACATCCAAAAGCCATGTGGTTGATCCATCACCTGGTACTGATCTCAATCTGAACAAATTCACCTTCATAGGCAACAGCGGTTCAGAAACGAGTGTTTGCTCGAAAAAGCCCATTTAGTTGATGCAACGCTCTCTTCACAAACACCATCACATTTTCTCATCATAAAAGCCGGACTGAGTGGTTTCCCACAGTCTAACCTGAACTCAAGCTGACCAAACAAAGAGGACAGGCTTGTGAACACAACCAATGGCACCAGATTTCACATATGCACATAAAACACACAACATAAGCCTGACACTTTGATCAGTTTAAAAACTCGCTCACAACCTTAGTCTCCAATGGGTAGTTCACATGAAAATGATTAAGTCATTAAGGAAGAATGACAATGTCAGACACCATTGACTTTCACTGTCTGGAAAGGATGCAATAAAAAAAGTAAATAACACTGTCAGTCCCCAACAACTCCTTTTGTGGCCCAATTTGGAACATGAGGATGATCAATGATGACAAATTTCATTTTTAGCCTAACTATTCCTTCAAGCACTTATGCACTAATGTCCCATTCTGTGTCTCAAAACACCCATGTGATGCTCAGAAATGCTGCCTAGGTAGGGCAGCTCACTAGATTTTGAGATACAACCTCCGGCTTCTAATCAACAGACTCACTGGCTAACAGAATTCGGTGCTTGTACTGTTTACTAGCTAAGGAATAAAAAAAACAACCTCTCCAAACAGGCCGATGACTACCCAGCAGGTCCAAAACAACAGAGCGCTCTTACGTCTCGGGCCTCTTTGTAAGTGATACACATCACTGCATCACACCTCAGCTGTCCTGACCCGTTCGTGCACGCGTACACTAGACCGTTATGGTTTAATATTGTTTTTTAAAATGAAGTTACCTTGTAGAAGGCCCCGTTAGAGCCGCGCACCTCCACCGCCAACCCGTCCATGTTCGTCGGCGTGTCCCCACGACTGTGCCTCTCTTTAGGCGTTCCGACAGCGTGCGAGTCCGGTACCACCCCCAGCTTCACGGGCCTCTCGCCGTTCTCCGGCCGCTTGTGTGTGTCCAGTGTTTCGGGTGGGAGAGGGGGCAAAGGTGACGGGGGGAGCACAGGAGCCACAGGGAAGGGTTCAGCTCCGACACCCTTTCCAGCGGGACAAGTTAATAGCTCAATAATGGCTGCCTAGAGCGCGAGAGAAGCTCGCACGAGTGCCGTTTGTGGCAAATCTGAAGCTGGAATGATGCTGTCTGATGAGGGTGGATGAAAACGAGGTGTTAGCACAACAGCTAGCGCAGCCGCTAATCAACGGTCATCGACACCTTCTATCACTTGAACTCACGGTTCTTGTATATGTCGGGGTGTTTTTCGTGGGAATCCTCTACTATGTCTGAGAACGCTGTTGATTAGGACGTTTGTTCTTTAATAAGACTGTAATGCTGCACTACTTCAACCTTCCCCTCCAGCACACGCCGTCAGTCAGAGTGGAGCAGCAAGACTGTGAATGACCCCGAAATCCCCGCCCATCTTAGCTTTCGTGGTTGTGATTGGTCTATTGCGCTGCCACTCACACACAGCTGCGCGCTGTGATTGGCGGAACTGTCGGGGGCCGGTCGACGCGGACCCAGTGCTTACGGCTCCTGGTTCGCCGGGCTTTTTCTGTTAGCGCCAGTTGTGTAGTTGCTATATTTGGGTGGCTCTGTTTTTTGATGAGACCCACCGATTCACAAAAACTCTGATACATGTCATGTAAAGAAAGACGACAGTTTCCAAACGCTCTTTCTTTCTCTATACTGATATACCTTAGGGAAAAATGATAAAGGAACATGAGGCGTAATATTGATCTTATGCAGAGTTTTGGAACAGATGCTTTGGGGCTTTCATAATATCAAACACACTGTGCAACCGCATGAATCATGAAATGTACTAAATTTGAAACACACTGGTTTCACTTTGAAGGCTTTAGTGCTTAATGCACAACCGATTGATTTTGTACGACAATTTTTTTAATCTTTAAAATATCCTGTTTTTCTTTTTGAATCAGTCTCGAGTTCTAAACTAATGTACACAAAACTGTTGCTTTTTATAACCCTTACAAGTCTCTGTTTGAAGTACCTTATGGCAACATTCGAATACCATGGAATATGTAATCAAACACCATGGAATAACCACTGATATAATCCCACAATACTTTTGTGTAATAGATGTTGGATCCTGAAATCTCACAGCTTCATGACTGGCGCTCAAATTTAGTTTTATAATAGCACATGCTATGACATTTTCTCTGGACTGATATCTGATATAAAATGAAACAAATGTGCCATTTAAGGTTACCTAAGCACAAAAGAAAAAAAAAATTCTACAGGATATTGGGATGCTTTACAACAGTTGTGGAAGGTGCTCCCGGATGTTGGCTGATTTGATGTCACTTACTGATGGGTGAGAAATGACACGCCAAACAGTTTGACCAAATGAGAGGGTGAGGAACTCAGGAGGGGGTTAAAGGCATGAGACAGCTGAAGACAGCAGATGTTGAAGGACATGTGTCAAACATCAGAGGATGTGAGGACGTCTGAACAGATCCAATCAACTGCATTTGTGAAGGGTTTAAAAAAGGTATAAAGTGAATTTGGAAGTTACTGTTTTATAAGAGAAATTTGTCACATGATCCTTCAGAAATCAGTCTAATATGTTGATTTGGTGCTCAAAAAATATTTCTTATTAATGTTGAAAACATTTAAAAAAGGAAATGAATAGGCTATTTTTATTTAACACTATTGCATTAAATGGATCAAAAGTGATAGTAAAGACATTTATAATGTTAGAAAAGATTTCTATTCATTTAGAATTTATTTTAAATTATAATATTTCACAATATTACTGTTTTACATTATTTTTTATCAAATAAATGCACATTTCTAAGCATAAGATACTTCATATCCATTTTCAAAAATAAATAAATAAATAAATAACTAAAAATAAAAATAATTTGAAAGATCCCAAATCATTAGTCAAGCAAAGAGGGTTTATACACTGAGGTTGGTGACAGAATTGTCCCACTGAGGTAGATTTATCATTTTGCATGACGCCACAGTCAGTCTGCAACAGGTGCAAGGAAAACAGTCAGACATAAGCTGTGATGGCCAGTCAAAAACCAAAAAAAAAAACAACAACACAAAACCCTCTGTAGTAAACACACTCATATATGTAGTGACATTTTACCACCAACAGAGGGTAATGTAGCGCCACAATGTCCATATGTCTGTTCCCACAATGTTTTGGGTGGTGATGGTAGTAGAGCCTAGAGAAAATATCTTAAAGGCAGAGTAAGTGATTTCTGGTAGCCAATGTTGATATTTGAAATCACCAAAACAAAGAGGAATCAAATTGAATTGCATCTTTTATCCACAGAGCAGCAGTATTGGGTGCATCTATGAATTAAGGAGCTGAATTGTTAACGCAACGGTTGTCGGTACGGTCAGTTATGTAGCTGTGAGAATTAAGTGTCTCTTTCATTATATATTTTAGTGCATGCTTTACAGTTGCTCAGTGTTATTATACTTATTTGTTTACATTTTTGTTTTAGTGCTCATTCAAATGCAGACATTGATTTGGAAATCCGTCATCTTTCCTTATGTTCCACATACAGGTTCTGAGCCAATTATTTGGGTTGTAAATGGCATGAGACTAATCATTCTGGAGGCACAGACAACTAACGTCATTCTCGGACTGTTAGATAGCAACATGCAGGCCCGGATTGGCTAATCAGGAGCACCGGGAGGATTCCCGGTGGGCCGGTCTGTTTTTTGGCCGCGAGGGCCGGTGTTGTCATGCCACTGGGTTGAACTGTTCCTAGGCTGCCTGCACTCATAGCAGCCCCACTCTTTTTATTTATTTTCTCGCAGG